CTTTACCTTGATTTTAGTTTTGCCAACATTCACATTGGATTCTCCTCCCAGTGGAGCTTCCTCATTGTAGATCTCTGCTCAGAAACAAGTGTATGTGCTTATGACTTTTGTGAGTTACTTCTTCCTAGGCCCCACCAGCATCAATGAACCTTACAGAAAACCTGCTACTCTTTAACATTCTTAGCTGATTTCAGCTTTTCTCTTAAAGGCATCCCACCAAATTTCTCCTCAGGATGAAGACTTCACTTTTCTTGGGAATTTTGGATCTTGGATACTTCTTACTTTAAAAAAAAAAGAATTGTGGTTATGTGTATTGGCCATATACATATTTAGTCCCTTTAGGGATCTATTTACTGACATAGAAAAACCACTTTGAAATAATGATCTTGATACCACCCTCCACATATTCTACTATGGCCCCAGCCTCATCAGGTTTTCCTTCATGAGAAATAAACTAAAAATTCAGGCAGGGGCTCATGGTTTATTAGTAAAATAATGCCTTCAGAGACTCAGTGGCCCTTGTGGCACTTTGGCTCCAAAGAGTATCTTGTTACAAGTCATTTTCATGACAGACACAAGCCATCTTTTTATTACTTCTCTCCTGGTCATGATACTTCATCTCAAATTAATGGAAATGCCCTTAGCACAGTGGAAAAATGATAGTAAGAAATATTTCCTTCAATGTGGTCTTTAAACTAGAGCACACTATTTTCTTTAAAATTCTTACTCAGTTTTTATATCAAAGTCTCATGAAATTGATTGCTTCATGCTTGGGGTTTGAAAGCAAATTTTCCCATCCTAGAAATCATCACATTGCTGAACACTATTTGTTTTACTATTATTTAATGGAATCATCTGCTTTCACACTATTTCTATCTACTAAATAAAAATTTTACCAAATATTTGACCCTGCATAGAAAAATCTTTTTGTTTTAATCCTCTGAAATTAGTTTCCTTATTAATCATCACGTTTCAAGACTTGTTTTGTCTTTGCTAACCTTTCTTTTCAAGGTACTCATTCATGATATTCTTTGCTGGACAGGGGAAAGGAGGTCCTGTGTGGGTAGTAAGTCACATCTGGAATATCAGAGACATGGTAACATCAAAGTATGCACGTTCTACAAACCATTCGAAGAGTAGCTGATTTGACATGCAACAGATTAACACACCATTTGGGATGTCACATACAACTGCAGAGTGCTGGGGATAAGTCCCACCTCTGCTTCTCCTCCATTTTCATACCAATTCTAGTGGGAGGCAGATGATGACCATACTCGGCCTCCCCTCATGGTCATCGCGTTTCCCTTTTTTCTCTCTGGTCTTTTCCTTCTCTGCCTCTTCTCATCTTTCTCGCTGGGGCGCTCTTCCTAACCAGGCCCGCGCCTTTCTTCTGCCCACGGTGCTCCATTTCTCTCTGGCCGCCGCCGACACTGCTGCACAGCTGGTGTCGGTGCCTCGCTTTTTCCCTGACGTCGTTCCTGCAGCTTATGGCCCAGGCCGCCTTGGGTCTTTCTGCTCAAGGTTACCACATCCCTCTTTAAAAATTCTGTCAAGAAAGAGAAGACGCTTTACCCGACTCTTGGGCCGTTATCTCATGGCGAACTTTCTGACCAAGTATACAGCTACCCAGATGGCCTTGAAGTGCTGTATAGGGAGCAGTTCCACTTCAACTTGGGAACCTAGCTGATGAGAGGGGGTTCCATCTCCTAACTTGTCCATGTGCATTGAATGGAAGCTGGAAGAGCAGAAGAGGTGTCCTCCAGGCACTCCAGTAATGGAATACTGGTGTCCCAAATGATGGCTTAACTCGCTGGACCACAGCACCCTTTCCCCAAAGTAATGCCTTCATGACTTCCTTGGTGTGACCTGAATTAATTTTGGAAAGTAAACTTGACCTGAATCTGGAAAAAAAAAGAATAAGAAGAAGATGATGATGACTGAAGTATTTTGATGATGCCAGCCACATGGGAGTCCCAGATGGAATTTGTTGGTCTTGGGTTTAGACTAGCACAGCCCTGGCTGTTGCAAGTATTTGGTAAATAATCCAGAGGATGGAAGACAGCTCTCTTTGTTGCTCTTTCAAATAAACAAATATAAAAATATTTTTAAGGGTTCATAAAATTAAATTAAATATATGATTTTATTTTGGTGCAGTAACAATTTGGAATTCATAAAATGCATTTTTAGCTTACACACTTTGCGTATATTAAAAAAAGTCTTTTTTGCCAAAAAACTATACCAAAGTAAACTCATACTTTTAAGTCTCTTTCCATGTACTTTCCAAATCTCCCCATGTTTCACCCACTGCAATGTAGGGCAGCCACAACTGATGTTCCCATCCAGGCAGTAGACTTACATTCTGAGTATTTATGGAGCCTGAAAATAAATTTTGATGCAATTTTAATTTAGAACCAGAGTGAAAAGTTTGGAATACAGTGAGAGTGGACATGAGTTTTAAGTACTCTTTTTCTTTAGGTTTTTTTTTTTTTTGACAGGCAGAGTGGACGGTGAGAGAGAGAGAGAGAGAGAGAGAGAGAGAGAGACAGAGAGAAAGGTCTTCCTTTTGCTGTTGGTTCACCCTCCCATGGCCGCCATGGCTGGCGCACTGCAGCTGGTGCATCGTGCTGATCCAAAGCCAGGAGCCAGGTGCTTCCTCCTGCTCTCCCATGTGGGTGCGGGGCCCAAGCACTTGGGCCATCCTCCACTGCACTACTGTGCCATAGCAGAGAGCTGGCCTAGAAGAGGGTCAACTGGGACAGAATCCGGCGCCCCGACTGGGACAAGAACCTGGTGTGCCGGCACCGCAGGCAGAGGATTAGCCTATTGAGCCACAGCGCTGGCTTCTTTAGGGTTTTAAGCTAGTTGACTGAATAACAAAAAAGTAAAGTTTAGACAAATATTCTTCTTAAGTGTTTTTATTGAGTTTTAGAAATCCTGATTAAAACCACTTGCTAGTTAAATATCTTCATTGTCCCAACTTGGAGAAATGAATGTCTAGGTTATACTCCCATGCAGTGTTGGTTAATAGTTTCTGTAATAACTTTCAAAAAGATTATTGACTACATTTTGCCCTATTTGAAAAATTAAATCAATGAAAATGAAAGATAAATTATGTATGTGGGGATTATCCATAAGAACACCTGTAAAATTTATGATCTGCAATCTCAGTGTGCAAAGTTTTCCTCATTTAGACTGTTTAGCCTTGGCTTTCTTTCCCCTTTATTATGATACATCAGTGTGAATCTTAGAGATTGTCATGCTTTCTCTTGTCCAATGAAAGCTGGGTTAGATTAGCACTTCTCTACATAAGATTCTAGATTCCTGAGTGCTTATTAAGCTAGTTATGGGGGTCTGTATGCTTGAGTCACAATTTGAAAGAAAATAATTGGTAACTAAAATGTTAACATTATTGTCATTAGCAGTATTACTAAGTATTTTCTTTTTATCTTATTGTTCATTTTATTCTTATTGGCTTTTGATGTTTTGAAAATTTACAGCATAAAACTGGGAAACTATGGACTGTTGTGCATTTGAAGGTCTATATATTTATTTTAAATTTCATGTCTGTGAATAGTGCTAGTATTTCCTTTGCTTTGTTTTTAAGTACAATCAAATTACACAAGGAAATGACAGCTCGCAATGCATGTACCTGAGTGTAGACAGGCAATCTAAACAGTAAAGTTGGGCACTCTGGGTTTATTGGTAAACAGTGCCAAGTCTATGAGGGAATGGATAACAAACATCTTTAGCTTCCAATCAGTGAAATTTCTGTTTAAAAGTCCAAAATTTGGGGATTGGCATAGCGGTGTGGTGGTTAATGTTGCTGCTTGTAATGCTGGCATCCCATATGGGCACTGGGTTGAATCCCAGCTGCTCCACTTCTGATCCAGCTCCCTGCTAATAGACCAAGAAAGTGGTGGAAGATTGCTCAAGTACTTGATCCCCTGCATCCACATGGGAGACCCAGAAGCCTCTGGCTCCTGGCTTCAGATTAGCCCATTTCCAGCCATTATGACCATTTGGGAGTGAACCAGTAGATGGAAGATATCTCTCTCTCTCTTCTTCTCTACCTTTGCTTTTCAAATAAATAAATACATCTTTAGGGAAAAAAGTCTGGAAATGAACAAGTGCAGATGTGTTGTGTTATTTATTTTTAGTCATAATGTACAACCTTAAAATAAGTAAGAAAGGACTCTGAATCCTGGATGGTACAGAAAGAACATGGGATTCATAGGAGATTGCTTAGCCTGAACAAGGGCACATTGAGAAGATTTTGTAAATACGGAATTAAAAGATAAGTATTCTTGTAAAAATATTTAAATCCAGGTATAGTTTTTACAGTCCATATTTTCTATCAATTTTGAAGACTCATCATGTCATCTTAGAGCTTCTCATGAAAACACAGTATTATATTTTTCTAATATAAGAATATTCTATGAGCATCACAGTTACCTGATTTCATGAATATTTATTGTTGTAATTTTTCCACATGTCAGACATGTCCTAGAAACAAAGTGGGGGAAGTGACTGGGTCTTTCCTTTGCCCATTCCTTTCATTTAGTCTTGCGCACTCCCTTTAATATTTCATTGACCTACTGGAAACAAAGGCTAGTTGCCCCAAACTCACCTCATTGTCATCTTTTTCTCTGGATTCTCTTATGTTGTCCTTGAATGTTTTACTCTAGAGCCTGAAAATTCTTCAGAAATGTAGTTTTAATTTTTATTTTTAATATTTTTTTGACAGGCAGAGTGGACAGTGAGAGAGCGAGAAAGAGAGAAAGGTCTTCCTTTGCTGTTGGTTCACCCCCCAATGGCCGTCACAGCCGGCGCAATGTGGCCAGTGCAGCACGCTGATCCAATGGCAGGAGCCAGGTACTTATCCTGGAATCCCATGGGGTGTAGGGCCCAAGCACCTGGGCCATCCTCCACTGCACTCCCTGGCCACAGCAGAGAGCTGGCCTGGAAGAGGGGCAACCGGGACAGAATCCGGTGCCCCGACCGGGACTAGAATCCAGTGAGCCAGTGCCGCAAGGCGGAGGATTAGCCTAGTGAGCTGCAGTGCCGGCTCAGAAATGTAGTTTTAAAGCTAAGTTTTACAGGCTTCAGTTAAACATGTTTCACTGGGAGATAATATATCTATGCAGTATGTGAATCACATACTGCATTGCTAGAAGAGTGGGTCTGCCAGATAAAATGCAAGACACACTAATACTGTGTGGAACATCATCAAGCCAAAAATAACATTGCTTAGCAGAAATTCAAATTTAACTATGGGCTTCATCTTTCTAAATCTGACCATTTTGTTCAAACGACATATAAAAGCTTTTCAAATTAACTAATGAATTGATGACAAACTGATACTTATACTGTATCATGATTAGTCCCCTTTTAACCTAGGGTGTGAGGATATTTTGATATTTGCACTTCCATCAACCAGTTATCTATCAGTCCAATTAGTTATACTTACTATTGTGAAGTCTATACATGTATAGGCTTCACAAAATACTTTTTAAATACAGTTCTATCTGTATTACCACAGTAACATTTTAGGGAAGAGAAAAACTTCCCTTGTCAGCTGTGGCCATTAGTAATTTCAAACTATAGTTTCTAGTTGAAAGATAGGCTCAATGCTTCTATAACAATAATCACTTCCTTATCTTTTCTCAAGTGGCCACAACTCAAGTACCATGATTCCAAAGGGTAGGATTCCTTGTGTGATGAGACTAGATTGATCACACTATTTGACAAAGTAATTTCATTTCTAGAAGTTTATGCTAAGGAAACAAAAGGAATAGACCACAAAGACATCTACACAGGGTGTTATTTACAGTGTTTCTTGTAATAGCAATCAATCAACAAATAAATAGAAAAACAGAGGACAACATTCACAATGCCATCAGAAAATGATTAGCTAAGTCAGTGATGGCACATCCAACCAGATTTGTCTCCTAACTAGATCTTACCATTTATTCTTATGCAGCTACTATCCAGTCTCAACAAGATAAATGAACTTTCTAAAACAGCAGAGACTAACAAGAGACCTTAGGGCTTAAAAAATAGTATAGAATTATATAATATGTGGAAACATTCTTATTATCAGTATTAAAAACCCCACAGAGAAATGAGTCAGAAATGTGAAGAAAATGTAAAACACCAAAGCCAATAAATAGCCATTATACTCTCCCTCATCCTAAGCAGGTGGCTGCAGCCTCCAGGTGGGATTCTCCCAGGAAGACCCGAGGGGAGGCAGGAGGGTCCCAGCAGGTGGCAGGATCCCACTGGTGAAAGGGTGCAGCCTAGAGCAGGCCCTTGGCCCCTGTACCCAGGCCTCACCTCTACCATCTGGAACATCCTGGAGTTCCCATCCCTGCTGTAAAGATGCTGATTTGTTGCATCTTCTGGGTCCTGTGTGCTGATGGCTATGTGAGCTGTCCAATCTGACGCAGTGACATCACTGCCACATAATCACACTGGATTGTGACACCACAGAGTTCCAAATTCCTGGAGGAGAGAAGTCCAAGGAGGAGCCTCTGCCACTTGGAGACTCAGGATCTAGTGCGGTGTCCACTGTTCTCTGACCTTTTCCACCCAACACAGCCCATCTCATATGCCTGGGAATGGTGAGTGCGTGGGGCCAGGTGTCCAGAGTCGGGGAAGGGGAAGCTGGTGGTACCTGCTGGCAGAATGCAGGCTCCAAGAGGGCATCCCTGAACCTGTAGGCCCGATCTTGCTGTCCCCACAGCACACTCCTGGGTTCCTTGTGGTCTAGAAGATGTGGTCTGCCCTGGTAGGCCCCTTCCCTGTTCAAAGAGATGTCTCAGCCTCAGAGCCCTCTGTGAGGAGCTGTTTCATGGCAGCCCCACGTCTCCCCCAATCGTGCAACGGGGGCAGGGCGTAAACATGGAGAAACAGTGCTGTGTGTATGTTGTGTATGCTTGTGAGGAGTTGTCGTTTATAGGATTGTCAGTTCCTCCATTCTTTGTGTGTGGGAAGCAGGATGTCAGTTTCTAGGACCCGGCCTTCCTGAGTAGCTTTCCAGGAAATACCCCATTAGTGTAAATATGTGGTTTTACTAAGGAGAAACAGTGTAGTGTGGGCAGGGCTGTGGTGTAGAGGGTAAGCTGCACCTGCAGTGTTGGTATCCAATATGGGTGACAGTGTGAGTCCTGATGCTCCACTTGTGATCCAGCTCTCTGCTTCTATTTTTTTTAAGATTTATTTATTTATTTGAAAGGCCAGACACTTCTTCCATGTCTCTCATGTGGGTGCCAGCACCCAAGAACATGGGCCATCTCCCACCAATTTCCTAGGTGCATTAGTAGGGAGCTGGATTGAAAGTGGATCACCTGGTCTCCCAGCAGTACCATATGGGATGCATTCACAGCAGGTCAAGGCTCTAACCAATTGCACCACAGCACCAGCCCCTTCCTTATTTATTTCTGCAGTAATCTTTCATTATTCATGTTTTTCTGCTACCCTGTAACTTGACTCATTCTTGTTTTTTTCTGGGTCCTGGGGAATGGTGGTAGGTTGCTTCTGGGATATAGTTTGTTCACGTTAGTAGATACTTGGTAATCTAAAGTCATAGTTTTTAGTTTCTATATTTCTCTGCTAATCATGAGGACCTTCTAGATGACTGCAGAAATTCTGGCAGAAATGAGGATGTATTAATTTGCTAAAAAAATACCACAGATAATGATTTAAATCATGGAATTTTACTTCTGAGAGTTGTGGAGGTTGAAAATATAAGATCAGGGTCCTAATAGCCTTGATTTTTAAAGAAGCTTTTCTCCTGATGTGACAGAAATATATATCATTTGACCTGCTTAAAAGCACTTTCTTCAGGTAGAGTCATGTTGGTGGTTAGCACGTCAGTGTTTGAGTTTTAGGGAGGCACATTTCAGTGCATAACAGCAAAAGGGGCCCTGTGGTCTACTTCAATGACAGCCAACTCTAAGGACAGAAATTTTGAAATCAGTGTTAGGATTTCTTACAGTATTACTGTCAGTGCTATCTCCATCAAATGTGCATTCATGTACACACACAAACAAAACTACCTGACACATAAATGCATTCTACAGTGGAAATGCCTGATGGTTGTGTAAAGGTAACATCGACATAAAAATCCAGAAGATGGCCTATAAGCAGATATTAAAAAGAGAATAAAAAGAATGACAACAAAATCTGCAGGTACCTATATTTATGTATATATGTATGATATTCAATATTAATAGTTGCTAAAAGAAGAATACTGATGTGTGGGAAATAAAAGCTTAACCTTACCTTACAATATTGCAGCCTAGTCTACATGAAAGGTGTCTTCCTAAAATCTTTCACTGGCACACACTGTGGCACAGTAGTTTAAGCCTCCACCTGCATCACCAGCATCCCATGTGGGCACCACTTTTTGTCCCTGCTTCTGCACTTCCAGTGCAGCTCTTTGTGAATGGCCTAGGAAAGCAGTGGAATATGGCCTGAATGCTTGGGCCCCTGCACCCACATGGGAGACCTGGAGGAAGCTGCTGACTCCTGGCTTCTGGCACCTGGCTTCAGATTGGCCCAGCTCCAGCTATTGTGGCCACTTAAGGGGTGAACCAGTGGATAGAAGACGTCTCTTTCTCTTCCTCTCTATATCTGCAACTCTGCCTCACAATAAATTAATAAATTTTTCAAAAACCTTTCACATTTTTAATTTCTTACTTTTTAAATATTTATGTATTTGAAAGTCATAGTTAAAGAGAGAGGAGAGATTGGTCTTCCATCTAATGTTCACTCTTTAATTGGTTGCAACTGCTGGAGCTGTGCCATTCCAAAGCCAGGAGCTTCTTTCAGGTCTCCCAGATGGATGCAGGGACCCAAGGACTTGGACCATCTTCTGCTGCTTTCCCAGGCCATAGCAGAGGGCAGGATCAGAAGTGGAGCAGCCAGGTATCAAACCAGTGCCCATATGGGATGAAGGTACTTCAGACCAGGGTGTTAACCTGCCCTGCTACAGAGCCAGCCCAACATTTTAAATTTCTGATACTCTAAACTTGCTCAGGACTACATTACATGTAGGAAAGATGCATTCAAAAATTATAAATCTAGTGCATTGTAGCAGAAATTTTAACAAATACTTGTGATTTTCTCAGCATTATATATGAAATTAATGACATAATGAGTCATTGTCAGAGTTTTAGCTCTTTAACAGCCACTTATAATACTTTTTCAAATTTATTGCTAGTGTGTTCTTTTCAACACTTGCCCTGGATTTTACCAGTTTAGTGAACATGGAGTTGCCTATTATAGGATTTGCATTTTAATGCATTTTAATGGCACATGTAATCAATATCTGAAAAGCCTTCAACACATAAATAATAACATGAATCAGGTTTTTTTTAAAAGATTTATTTATTTCTTTGAAAGTCAGAGTTGCACTCATAGAGGAGAGGCAGAGAGAGGGAGAGAGACAGAGATAGATAGAGAGGTCTTCCATCTGCTGGTTTACTCCCAGTTGGCCGAAGCCAGGAGCCAGGAGCTTCTTCTGGGTCTCTCACATGTATTCAGGAACCCAAGGACTTGGGCCACCTTCTATTGCTTTCCCAGGCCCTAGCAGAAAGCTGGATCAGAAGTGGAGCAGCTGGGACTTGAACTGGCACCCATATGGGTTGCCAGCACTGCAGGCAACAGCTTTACCTGTTATGCCAAAGTGCCGGTCCCACATTGCATCTTTTTAAGATGATACGGGTGTAAGTTCATGAGAAATTATTAGCATAGTAGGAGCCGACAGATATAGATGATTTAGGATGCCTTATTAGGAATGGTGATGCTAATTTTCTTATAAAATAAATAAATATAAAATCAAATATGGTCAGACATAAATGAAGACTAAATTTTATTAGTAGTGATCCAGAAAACACTGATCAGGTCTTTTCCTTCTAGTGTTAAGTTTATATTTTAAAATTCATATTAAGTGAACAAATTTCATATAATTTATATATATAGATTTAAGACCAAAATGATACATCCTACTCTATCTTCCTTTGCCTCATACTTCCAACTCCCTCCTTGTTTTATTTTCCTTTAATTTTTACAACTGCATGCTTTGAGTTTATTTTAGAATCACAAGCTTTAACCTTCTACAAAACAAAAAAATTCAGCACGTAGTAGCAGAAATATCAATGAGTATATTTTCTATACTCTATCAAAGAATACAGAAAAGGGCTATGAACAATACTCAAATCTCAAAATATCAATTTAACTCAGATGCTACTTTTTGTTGTCTATATATTAATTACCACCAGAGAAAACATATGGTATTTGTCTTTTGGGGACTGGCTTCTTTCACGAAGCTTAATTGTTTCCAGTTGCATCCATTTAGTTGCAAAAGATAGGATTTCATTCTCAATTATGGCTGAATAGTATTTTACACTGTATATATAGCTCATATTCTTTTTCCAGTCACCAGCTGATGGACATCTGGGTTGATTCCATGTTAGCTATTGTGAATTGAGCTGTCATAAACATGAGGGTAAAGATAATGCATGCATATTCAATTTCATTTCATTTGGATAAATTCCCAGGAGTGGGATGGCAGGATCATTATGGTATATCTGTTTTCAGATTTCTGAGGAACTTTTATACTGCCTTCCATAATGTCTGTACTAGTTTCATTCCCACCAACAGTGGGTTAGGATACCTTTTTCTCTACCTTTCCACCAGCCTTTATTGTTTGTTGACTTTTTCAAAAGAATTCTTTATTTGAAAGGTGGAGTTACAGAGAGGGAGAGGCAGAGGCAGAGAGACATATGTATTTTATCTGCTAGTTTATTCTCCATATGGCCCAACAGGTGGTGCTGGTCCAATCTGAAGCCAGAGTTAGAAGCATCTCCCTGGTCACCCAAGTGGGTGCAGGGGCCCAGGCACTTGGGCCATCTTCTGCTGCCTTCCCAAGCACATTAGCAGGGAGCTGGATCAGAAGTGGAGCAGCCAGAACTCAAAATGGCATTCATGTGGGATTCTAGTACTGCAGGCAGCAGCTTAACCTGCTGCACAAAACCTCCCTCCCCTGACTTTTGGTTTCTGTATGAGAGCCATTCTAACTGGGTGAGGTAAAAGGTCATTGTGGCTTTTATTTGCAGTCCTCTGGTGGCTATTGTTCCTGACATGTTTTCATGTGTCTGCTTGCTAATTGAAATCCATCCTTGGGAAAATGCCGATTTATATCCTTTGCCTATTTCTTGACTGGATTGTTTGTTGTTGAGTCTTGAGCTCTTTCTAGATTCTGGATATTTTACTTTTTCAGTTGCCTAGTTTGCAAATATTTTCTTCCATTCTATCAGTTGCTTCATCTTGTTGAATGTTTACTTTGCAGTTCAGAAGGTTCTTAGCTTGATGTAATCCCATTTGAGTATTTATACTTTTCTTCTGTGCTTCTGGGAGCTTTTTCCAAGAAGGCTTTGGCGATGCCAATATCTTGCAGAGTTTCCCTCTAGGAATTTGATGGTATCACATCATAGATTTAGATCATTGATCCATTTACACTGTATTTTATATAAGTTGTAAGGTAGAGATCTTGTTTCATTTTTCTGCATCAGAAGGTCAAATTTTCCCAGCACCATTTTTGAAAGTTGTTCTTTGT